TTTGCTTAATGATCCGAATTACCCCAGTTGGGGTAATTCGGATCATTTTTCTAGTGCTCTCGCCATTTTTTTAAAAACTCTATTAAAAACTTAAGTTTTTATTTAGATTTTTACATGGTTCGATAGAAAACACTTCGAGCTATCTGATGATGAAAAAATCTTTTTCGTCCGATGTAAAATCGTTGAGTTATAGTTGAAAAAAGTCGATTTTTTTGAACGCTGATCCGAATTACCCCAATCGACTATATACACATTTCGAAGATTTATCAAATGAGATTTTCTTCGAAATATTTGATTATTTACATGCACTTGATATTTTTACTGCTTTTGCTTCATTAAATAAACGAATTTTATCTATTCTACAATCAATTCGACTTCATATTATGATCTTAAACAGTCATTATGATCGAGAAATTGATTTTCTTTCTTCTTCAGCTTACTTTTCATGCTCATCAAGTTATATCACTAAAATGTTATGATACAATTCGTGATCGTTCATCCATTATTAGTTTACTATTTAATCGACATCATTTTATTAATCTTCAATCATGTATATTTATATCGGATAATCCATCCACTGAACTTGAAAATGCTATTAAACAAGTTGAAAGTTTGAATAGACTTATTTCATTTTTTATTATACAACTACATTATAAAAAAATCCATGAGAAAGACAAATGTGATATAACTCGAACTATATTGATGAACAAATCATCTTCTCTTCGTTCAGTTAAACTTATTTATAATTATGATTACTCGAACATATCAACTTATACTTCAATTGCTTCAAATATTAGATCACTTGAATTGTTAATATCTGCTGACTCACTAAATAAAATATCAGTTTATTCAATTTTGCTAATTCTTCGTGTTTGTCATAGAATACGATATCTATATGCCATAATAAAACATGAAATTCCATCTGAAAATAATAATTTGAAGTAAGTTGCAATGAAAATATCCAACGAATATTCTTTATAAAACAAGATTGAAAATATATTCTTTCCTTTTTTCTTTTAGTGTTTCAATTGAAGAACTATTTCTTAATGAAAATGATCTTCCTATATCACCACAAGTGACATCCTTCGATTTATCAATTTTTGCTCAATGTGACATTCGTTCAATCGTTTGTATCTTACGTTGTATGCCTAATCTTATTCATTTTAAGTTTCTTCATGGGATATGAGCAGTTTCCTTATCATTTCTTAATGATTTGGTCAATGGTTATACATGGCAACATATGTTCGAAATACATGTTCCATTATTATCTAAATTTGATTTTCATATCTTAATTGAGAATAAATATAGAAAATTGAATTTAGACATGGTGGTAAATTCATTTCAATATTTCGTTAAAAAATATCTTGAATGGCAAATGATTATTGATCGATGGACATCTAATGACGACACAAGTATACGTAAGCAAAATTACTTTAAATGGGAAATAAAGAATACAAACTAATGAACGTTTACAGAGTGTTTGAGGAAATGATAAATAGTATCTATCGTTGCCATTGATTATATTTTATTTTAATAAGATTTATTTGAGTGTTTCTGTATGTTAGGACTAACTCCGACCCTTTGCTGTTTCGGACGTGATCGTCAGAATCTTTTTGAATTTTACTATTGCATAAATAGATATACTATCACCAAGAAAATATTTCTTTTGATAAAATTTGAATCTTAAAAAAAACTTTTTTTTGAGACTCACTATTTCGGAAAAATTGTGCATTGATCAGATACTCACCAATATTAAAAAAAATTGCTTTTTTATCGTGTAGCCCACATTTCTCTGTCAGTGATTATCTTAAACAATAATTTGCTTTCTTGTTCCACAGAAATCACTTGTCTGAAGGCGTTGACAGCTTGTTTTTTTTTTTTATTGTTACATCTATACGAAAGAAAGAGCTTAGAAGTTCAACTAGTCAACAAAAGGTCAGTAGAAATGGGAGTCTTTTTTATGGACGTGCTTTCAAGTATGAGAAAAATACTATTTAAATCCAAGAAGTGCCTTTGGAAATTAAACATGCCCTTTCAAACAAAAGGAAAATTTTAATTGATTGAAATCAAATGCCCTCGGCAATTCTAGATTGATGGATAGACAAATAGGCAAAAAGCATTTTTATTTGTAACCACCATATATTTGACTAGATTGGAGAAAAGGATTGCTTTTCTTTACGACAATGGGAGAAAAAAATATTGAAAATCAATCATAAAAACAATGGATCAACCAACTATCAGATTGACTATGAAATTCCAGTGTCTCAGGCTTTACAACTATCTACCTATCTTAAAATAGCATTCGTTGAGAAAAATCGACTTTGGTAGAACGAGAAAAGGAATATTCATAAAATATGAAAAGCAACACACAGACAAGCAATTATTAAACAATGAAGACTCAATTTGCCTATAAGAATCTATTTATTCTGAAACTAAATTTTTTTAACATAGAGTTTTTGCTTTCTTATAGAAGAGATTGTTATGTTACGCACATTTGGTTATCAGAAATACAAAAGAAACGTACATGTAACCATTCCAATGATTATTTTTGAATCATTTGAGACACGATCAACAAAAGCAACAACAAATGATCATTACCTTTATTATTCAGACACAAAATATTTAAAATTGAACATAGAAAAGATAACACCAAGAATTACTTCTTATCCTTTATTTCAACATATCAATTCTCTCATCGTATATTATTACCCAATAGTATATTTCTCATGGCCGAACAATTCATTGAATATTGGTAAGAAGAATAGATATTTCTTTTAATTATATAGTTCAGTTGATGAAAATGAATTTATCACTTTCAATTTATTTCAACTGAATATTTTCGATTTTTATCATATATAGATAAATTTGATTTGATTATTCTTCCCGTCATTTTTGTTCATTATCTTGTTTTTTAGTGAATTCTGTTCAATCAAATGATAATGATGATTCACAGCAATATGTTACTTCTCTTTCACATATTGTTCATTTACCCAATGTAAATCAAATTAACTTTGAGCCATATATTAATATAGGTCAAGGGAAAGATATTGAATTTATTCTACAGTAAGTATACTTGATATTGATTGAAAGTCGTTTTTATTTTCCTATTTCGATTTCTAAACCTATGAGTTATTTTTGATAATTCTAATATGTTTTTCGCAATGAATAATTTCATTTTATGTCAGATATATGACATTGAATTCTATAGTATAATAATCATTGGCAATGAATATAAATATATTAAGTATATTTTATTTTTCTGTTTTAGAGCATGTCTAAATGTGATTGATCTTCAAATGACTCCTGAAGATTTGGTTTTATCAAAATTCATCGATAATCGATCTCTTTTTTTCAATTTTCAAACAAAGTAAAATATTCAAAGCAGTGACGAAATGTGATTATGTCCCTTCAAATTTTCTATCGAAACTTGTTCAACGTTTTCCATCACTTATTGATATTGAACTTCAAGTGCTTTCATTCGATGATTGTATATCTGCTATTGATATATTACTTAGTCATCTAATAAATTTCTCTTATCTTAAAATTTATTATATTGAAGTTTTATCACTCGATCATCCTTTTTTCACGTAATTATAGTATTGATAAACGTCGTCAAGCTTTTGGTTTTAATATTGTCGTTGAACATAAGATTACAGTTAGCAAGAATGAAGAATCTGTAGCAATTAGATTATCATGATTTTATATGTATATAGATTTTTGTGTAAATAAAGTTGACATGAAAATGTGTTTTTTAAGTCTTTTTTTGAAGTGATAAAGATTCTTTCCGAGTCTTGTGTGACTTTAAAGGTTAGATGAATATTCAGGTAATCTTGATACATTGTCTGGAATGTTTTCAAAATAAGATCTTGAAAAATAATCGTAAAATTTAGTCATTTTAAATCGTTATTCTAATCAATTACCTACATATAAAATAATGTAAAGGCATTTCGATCAGTTAGAAATCGACAACTAGATTTTTAGTCGTTTTCGTCTATTTACATAATCAATATGTATGTCGCTCATGATCATTATAATTTATTGAGCAAGCTAAGCGAGAGATTTGATTGGTGTAATGTGATGTACAAATTAGTTATTTGCAATTTAGAAAACTTTAATTATATATAGGTAGTTCGTTAATTGAACAGGGTGAATAAGGTCTTTTTTGTTTACAATATTTTGTTGGTAATTACGTCGGATATGAAATATGTGAGAGAAGTCGTTGACGTATTCATTTTGGGAAAGTTATTTAGGAAGTATTGAATCAAAGTCGGATATGTATATTCTTTACATCTATTTTTCCCTTCTCTAATAATTTATTTGCGTTGAATAAAAGAATTAAAAATATACAAGTATGATATTTCGAAATATCTATCAATCCTCAAAAGAAGTGCCACCTATATCCCCTCTCCTCATTCCTCTCACTAGTTTGCTTTTCTCTTTAACAATCTTTTTGTTGTGGTTGATATTGACCTTCTATTATAATACTATTTATGTCTCATCTATATTTACATAAATAATTACCAAATGTTTACTGTATATACAATCAAAGATGCTCTACTACATAAAAGTAAAATCATCTTCAGTTATTTATTAACGAGTACCACCTATCATAAAAATACCTCTGTTATACATTTATTTTTCGTTAGATCTTAAACACTATTCAATCGATAACTTTACATTAACTGTCAGTTAAAAATGAAATTTTTACCATCAATGTAGTTTCATATAGTCTATCATAGAATAAAAAAATCGAAAGAAAATGATAATCTCTCAAACTTATGAAAGAGAGAGAGAGAGTTCATGAGGCGATCAATAATTTATATAGTATGGATAAAGGAACTGCTGCATATGCCCCGCAGTTCATTTTGTTTTCTTTCACTACTTTTTGTCTTGAGGGTGCTGTTACGATATGAGAACCTCTGAAACAAATCGTGGACATTTTAAGAGACGGTTGATGAGAGGACCAAGGAACCGGTTAAAATTTAAATGTTTGATTTTTTTTATCTACGTTTGAAAGGCCATCATTTGAAAGCACCAAATCCGAATTTTTAGCTGATTTGGATGTTCTATACTAAAGTTAACCTATTTTGACTTTTGACCACTATCAAGAAATAGTCATAAATCATTCCATAAATGTCTAGTAGAATTATAGGTTAACAAGTGAGAGAACCTTTTCATGCAATATACCAAAAGATAAAGCATGAAAAGCTGAAAAAAGTGAGCTATTTAAAATATTGTATATCATCTATTTACTGCAGTTATATAATCCGACATGTTACAATTTATCATTTTATACTTCCGATTTTTGGCAGTATCTCTGCTGCTATTTTTTGAATTCAAACGGGTCAAGCTGAATTTTTTATATAATGTGTAACTTTTGATTCTCTCCAAAATCGTAAAAACATATTGAAAAAAAGTTTACCTTTGAGATGATATGAGGCTTACACTGTCAATAGACAAGTAAGCAGTCTAAGAGAAATCGAGCTTGGAGACTTTCCAGTGTCCATCATTCATGAAAATTTCTACCTTGAAGAAAATAGAACTTCATCTTGGTTAAAATGGTATAGACAATTCTCTTGAAAAAAGAAAAGAATTTTTGACTCCCCGATACCTCTGAGGGTGATTACGAAAATTTTGAGAAAAATATTTTTTTTGTATAATGGAATAATGATTATGCAATTCGATAAAGCTTGGAACAATGATCATAACCATGTGAGCAAAGTTCATTATCAATCGTAAGCTAGTAGTATATGAAGCACCTTTCTGGTAAAGATTTCGGGGGCCCATGAGCAAGTATATGACTTTGAGGGGTGAACCCTATAGCACTAACTTACAATTAAAAATAAAGTTTGCTCAGATGGTTATGATGAGGGGTGTTTGTGTTCCTCGGAGTTCGGTTCTTTAAGAACACAAACACATTCTAGAATGCTTTATATCGGTTTTAAACGCTTTGACGTATCTAAATATTCTTGTGCATCTTTTTGTGGCAGGTTGCTAATGGGCATCTGGTTCGTAGGAACACAAACTCTGGAAGTAGTTTGTATTCCTAGGAAGACAAACCAGTGGTGGTCGAGCTATTGAGACCCGTGAGGTTCGAGCGTCACTTGGTTTTAGTCAATTGGGGCGCAGCCTTACTTAATTTTAGACTTGACATTCTACAAGAATACATAGTTTTCAAGTCTCTTGTGCACTTGTGCATGGGTGTCCCAAGCAGGAGCTGATCTCCTTAGAGTGTGGGTGTGGGTGTTGTTCTCCTCTTCTACTCACACTCACACCCACACCCGTTCAGATATGAAATTAATAGTGGATCATAAAAATCGTCCATTATGGGTTACACCAGATGGTCATATTTTTCTTGAATCATTTTCATCAGGTTATAAACAAGCTCATGATTTTTTAATAACTATTGCTAAACCTATTTGTCGATCAGAATATATACAAGAATAGAAATTATCAACTTATTCACTCTATGCTGCTGTATCTATTGATTTACAAACAAATGATATTATTGAAATTTTACAACGACTTAGTAGAACAACAATACCTAATAATATCATTGAATTTATTAAATTATGTACATTAAGTTATGGAAAAGTAAAATTAGTATGAAAACATAACCGATATTTTTTTGAAAGTTCTTTTCCTAATGTTTTAAAAAATCTTCTACAAGATTCACAAATTGAATAATGTCGATTAACAACAATAGAGAATAATATTGATATAAATACAATAACAGAAAAATTTCAACATCTTATTCCTGAAAGAGTTCTTACAAAAGAAAATACAACAACAAATGAACAAATATCTAATGATATTCGATATCTATATGAAAAAATTGTTTCATTTGAAGTTAATCCAAATAAAATCGAACTTTTACAAAAACGATGTCAAGAATTAGAATATCCATTACTTGACGAATATGATCTTCATCATGATACGATATTGAAAAATTTAAATATTGAACTATGATCTAATGCTATTTTATGGCCATATCAAGAAAAAAGTTGAAGAAAATGTTTGGATATAATAAATAAAAGTTATTTATTACTTTATAATTCAAATGTTTCTGTACAACGATGGAAACAACAATTTAAAATTTGGTCAATAACTGATGATTCCAATGTACGATTATTTATTTATTTCAGGTGATAAAGCAAAATTAAATGATTCATATATATGTATTAGTACTTATCCAATGATTGCACGTTTTGAACGATGTAATGATGATATAACAGATGTAGTAAGATCACTTAAAGATTGTGTGCTCATACGAAATTAAGTCTTACAGCAACATTAGTTAGAGAAATTGATAAAATAGCTGATTTAAATTTTTTAATTCAACCGAAATTATATGAAGTTAATTGGATGGAATTACAAAATCTAGGTCATATTGCAAAAGTTCAATGTGGTGAAGTATGGTGTCGTATGACATTGGAATTTTTTCAAGAATATGTATCAATTAAAAATGATCAACATCGACGTTTACTTTTATATATTATGAATCCAAATAAATTTCTTTATAAATTTCTTTATGGTAAAACACCTCAAAATGAACATATGCAAATTTTACATGATTTTCAACATGATCCAAATATGAAAACAATTTTTGTTTCCAAAGTTACTAATACATCATTAGATTTACCTGATGCTAATGTATTAATACAAATATCAAGTCATGGAGGATCAAGAAGATAAGAAGTACAACGCCTTGGTCGAATTTTACGACCTAAAAAAACGGACTACTCTTGAAGAATATAATAACTTTTTCTATTCACTCGTTTCACAAGATACTATTGAAATATATTATTCAGCTAAACGACAAAGTTTTCTTATTAATCAAGGTTATTCAAACAAAGTCATAACAGGATTAGTTAATGAAAAAAATAATCTATTCTTTTCAATGAAACAAGACCAACAACAATTACCCCAAGCAATTCTTCAACAAACAGATCCAGATGAAGATAAAGAAGAAAAATCTATAGAACAAATTCTACTATCCACCACTTCAGTTCACTGATATGTCGATCGAACAAACAAACTGAAACATGAACTACTTCAACAAAATAGAAACTTCAATTATCTATTTGAACTATTCTTATCCTCCTTTGTGCCATATATCACAAAAACTATAAAAAAAAAGAAATCTCCAACCAAAAACAAGAAGTACTCTGATCATCTCTATGTGCCGATAAAAAAGAATGGTCCGATTTATGTGAAAGGAAAAAAAACGAGCACTCTCTTCCATCCACAAACACCCATCATATCAACTCTTCTGATGACTAACAAATAACTGAAGCCACGTGACGATTCTTCTTTTCACTACTGGAGCGAAAATTCTGTTGAGAGGAAAAAATGCAACAGGGGGATGTAACATTCACCACTATGATTCATTCTTTCATAATTATCATTTTCTTTTCTTCATAAAAAAAAATAAATGTTGCTCTGGCAGGTTAGTGTTGCCACCAACCCGCACGCGTTCGTCATCGCAACATGAATTTGATCAGAATTGATCATTTACCTCTTGGTAAATTGTAATAAGCAACTTTTCTCGTAGATGTATGGTGCACGACATCTAGTTCGTCTTTACACATTACATATTTTTCTTGTTCTGTGCGTCGTGTAATGTGTAAAGAGCAGACCGCTGTCGAGCTTTCAGTTAATTAAAATAGTTATCGCTTCTCGGCCTTTTCGGCTAAGATCAAAGTGTAGTATCTGTTCTCGTCGGTTTGAAAGCCGGCGCTGGTCCCATTGGGGCCAGGCTCTTTCAAGCGGATTTTTGGACATCGGCCGGGATCACCCGAGTTCACTCGGACCTGTGCCACGGATCGTCTCGACACTACAGTGCCGTTGAGTTCGGTCCACTCCCGTTTCCTTCGGGAAATGGGAACCCATTTATCATACCAATGTAATATGAAAATTATTGATCTTTACTGATTCTGTAGCATAAATACTTGGTCATAGTGACTATGAAATAGTTCTGATATGATTACTTATCACTCGGTTGTAGTCATGGTCCGTATGTTGTATTCAAAGTAATTGAGAATAGGTGACATATCAATTCAAAGTCAAGAAGAAGAAAGAGACTAAAAAAAGTATATATATATATAATGGTTCAATATTTGATTATTGGATAGAACGCTTTAACAGTAAATGGTAAATAACAGATGGCAGTATTAATCACTAGAAAACCATATGAAGAATAGTTGGAATTGACAACAAATGGATTGGGGCTAGTATGGACAAACGATATGTCCTTCCAATGTTGTTTTCGTGTGTAGATGAGAAAAGTTTTTTGTAACTTGAGATTAAAGACTCTACGAGTAGAGGGCTATATATATATATATCTAGGAATTAAACTACATCTATGCAACAATTATCCAAAGTAATTCATATGCTAGTATTTTTTTTTGTTTTGATATCAACTATAATGGACTTTAATTTATTTTGTAATTACTTTCGATGAATCACTACAGTATAGTGACAAAAAAGCCCTATAAAAGAACAACTATGTAATCACAAGCATGAAATCTATCGATGAAAGTCTCTGAAGCTATGTTAAACGGTAAACAATCGTAGCATCATATTTCGACTAACTCTTGAGATGAGAAATATTTTTTATGGCATCGTTTTTGTGAACATATTTTAAATTCCATTCTATTTTTTATTTATTTCCTAAGGATCTTTTATAATACAAGATATATTATTATCTTTATTTCGGCGTATATTCACATTCAACTGGAAATTAAATTTTCAGGGGAATAATAAATATTCGAAAAAGAATCGCATGCTTTTTTTTCTCAATAATCTACAGTATATGCTCAAAGAATTTCATTTTTTCTATTTATGTTTTTCTCAGTAGTTCTATCTATATTTCACAGTTCAATTGGCTTTCTTATCATTTCAAATTTATATTTGAACAGAGCCCTATCTTTTAAGTTATTCAATGGAATAAAAAAAAGACACAATTCTTTTCTCGATTAAAAGTTCGACAGGTCTAAAGTTAGAATCATTTAGTTTTTTTTCAACCCACTCCTGTTACAGAAAAGAACATCGATTTTATTTCCATAGTTTACACTCTTTGAGTCTTTTTTCTTTCAATCATATGATGCAAGATGACCATAAATATCTGTATACAACGATACTGAACACACAGACATAGAAATTACTCGAACAATATTTAGAAAAATAATTCTTCGTAGTTATCTACAAGCATTTGTAATGATACATCTGTGGATTGCTAAACAACGATAATATAAGAAATATTAAGTGCATTATTAATCAGTTTTCGCCATTTGCAGATTTGTTCATATCATAAGACTAAATACGAAAATCTCAGCATGATTTTCCTATCGATGTTCCAATGATGCAAACTTGTGCCATATTTTTAGAATTCCTCCAATTTGAAAACAAACAAGTTCATTTTACGTGTTTATTAAACAGTTGAGAGAAGATTTCTTCTTTTATTTGATTGGCTATGAATTAAATTATTTTATCCATTTTTTATTAGTTTGTGTGATGCCATTGTATATACTTTAATTTAGAATAAAACCAACTGAATTTGTTCAATGTACTCGAATTATTTTCATCAATGTCCATTACAATCAATGTTCTCCTAAACTAATCCATGTTCACAATTCTAGCTACTTTTCTTTCAAAAATGTTCTCGTTCTTCAGCGTTAATCCACGATGCGATCCATCTGTTTTTATACTTTGTTGCCAGATATAATATGCTTTAGAAATAAATGAAATATCTTCGTCAAAGTAAAATAAAATAACAAATTTGATTTTTTCCTCCCTGTTCAAGTTCTTTCTCCTCTTCCACCTCGGTATCAAAGTGGCTATGTATTTTACATGTCTTGTCACTAATTTCCTCAATGAATCTGCTGTTGACGTATTATTTGTTAGAACTACATTGATTTTCCAAAGAGTCTCAGTAACATACTAAATAAATTATACCGAGATAAAACTTTATATTCAAACATGTCAGTGACAATAGCACATCTTTATATAATGCATGTTATGTAATTTTCCAATATTCAATTATGATATTCCATGAAAGAAACTACACACCATAGAATTTCAACATTTGACGATATTTCTATCACAAAAATTACAAAGAGACTAACACACTACATAGAAATAATTTGCCGGTCATAACTGTGTGACTAACAAAATACTACCGATTGCAATGACATGTAGCCTGAAACATTTTATTTTATTTTTTTTGTTATGTTAGAATGTTGCTCTGGCAGACTAGTGTTATCACCAATCCGCACGTTTTCGTCATTGCAACATGTATTTGATCAGATTTGATCATTTACCTCTTGGTAAGTTGTAATAAGCAACTTTTCTTGTCAGTATGTAGAGCACGACATTTCTCCTGTTCTTACACATTTAATTTTTCCTTCTTTCTTTCTTACATAGTATGTGTAAGGACAAAGCAGATGTCGTGCACCGCACAACCACAAAAAAAGTGCTTATTACAACTTACCAAGAGGTAAATGATCAACTCTGATCAAATACATGTTGCGATGACGAAAACGTGCGGATTGGTGGTAACGCTAGTCTGCCAGAGCAACGTTCTTTTAACAATATAAAAAAAAATGAAAGAGAAGCATATTATTTTCATAATATTGTTTCGATAGAGGATGGTCACCTCTCTATGATCGTGTTTCTTTATACAAGAAGAATTATCTTGCATAAGCATATTTGAATAGATAATATGCACAGGTTTAGCAGATTGTTTCGAAGAAGTTATGAACTGAAACGAACTCTAATGATGGGATTGAGTGAAAATGTACATTTGATATTTCGGGGAAGAAAAAAAATCTGGTAGTAAAAGAATTCTGTTTTTTGAGACAAATGGTCAGGTCTTGTAATAAGACGGTTTTTCTTCTATCTTTCTTTGTTAAATTATACTTTGTTTGTCATGATAACAGCAAAATTTATTAATAATTGTCACATATTTTTCTAGCTATGGAAGTGTTCTATCTAGAGCATTTACTTGATCGTAACGAAAACGAAGTCAAATAATGAAATAAGAAAACTGTTACAACATATCTTCTATGGAACAAACATGCAGCATTTTTCATATACGGATACTTATATGATAGTAAATTTTTAGTAATAATTTAAATTGAATTATAGGTATTTCCAAGTTGTGAATGTCGAGAAACATAGCTTTAAAGTATCATGTCATGGTACTGCTTCCTTATTGAACTATTCATTTTTTTTTACAAAAGGTAGACAACTAGCAAAGATGATTACGTTAAGGCTTGGATTTCGTATTCAATAAATATCTTTTTTGTCTCCAATTATGGTACAATATATTTGTAAGAAAAATTGTTCTATTCAGTAACGGCGTTTCCAGTTCTCTCGATAGCAAAAGGAAAAAGATTCAAAAATGAAATATTACAAATAAAGAAATTACATTAGAGTCATACACGAGATTGAATACATGTTTCACAATTTCAATGCAGGTGAATGTTGCGAAATAATCAAGTTAGTTGCTCAAGTCTTGTCTTTTTTCTTATGAAAAGGTATGTGAAAAGTGTAAAGACAAACTCAATATAAACATCTCAATTTCAGCATTAAGTTAACGCTTTACGGCCTTTTAGGCTAAGATCAAAGTGTAGTATCTGTTCTCGTCGGTTTGAAAGCCGGCGCTGGTCCCATTGGGTCCAGGCTCTTTCAAG